ACTATACAATATTATTATACTACTATACAATACTATATTATAATATACTATACTACTACTATTCTAATATACTATATTATATTATATTATATTATACTATATTGATATCAACTCTCTTGCGTGTTGAAAGCAAGTTTCTATGAGTACTTGCACTGTTGCATAAAAGCAGATTGGATTCCGTAAATTAATGTAAAATTTCCAATTTTACTGATGCATTCTATTTTTTTTATGTTTTTTTAGAAAGGATTTGTTGAAGCTCGATCCGATGATGGTCTGTTGGAAATATTTGGCTTAAAACAAGGATGGCATGCATCTTTTGTTATGGTCGAACTCATATCTGCTAAACATATTGCTCAGGTACCATAGTAATTTTGACTAGATAATTTCTTTTAAATTCTCTCAGTAGTAATTGCAGGAAGTGAAACAAATGGTAACTGATTTCCTGTTTTCTTTTTCTTTGCAACAAAAATTATGTCTATTTATTAACCTATCATAAAGCTGACTCCAATTATCTGGAATAAGAATAATTACGACAATAATAATAAGAAAACAGACCTTGTGAAACATCAACTATGACAAGTTGCGTTTCAGATTCAATATTTTCCATTTCCAGTGAATAATTTATTTAGGCTTCGTTTGGGATAACTTTTTTATTGATTCTTAAAACAGTTTTTAAGAACAAAAATTTTAATTTTTGTATTAAAAAACTGCTTTTGGAAGCATTAAAAAGCCGTCCTAAACGAAGCCTTATTGAAATTGATTGCTAGTTTTAGCTTGTTGTTTCAGCTAAATCTCAAAAATGTCTTCTTATTTTATTGCCTTTTGTTTTCCTTATCTGAACTACTCATAGCAATATGATCTAATTTTGGTAGGTTTCGTTTGGGACGGCTTTTTTCCTGCTTCTTAAAGCAGCTTTATAGTTAAAAAATTAAATTTTTTGTACTAAAAAGCCACTTTAAGAAGCAGGAAGAAAGCCGTCCCAAATGAAGCCTTAGTTTTCGCAGAATTTGTTTCATTTCCTTCATGAACTGTTGTGTTGTTATTTTTTTATGAACATTTATGCAATTTCTCGATATTGTAAGTATGATTTGATCATTTTATGCAATCTTACAGGCTGCAGCAATCAGATTAGAAATAAGAGGTGGGCAGTGGAATCATGCATACATGCAAATGGATGGAGAGCCCTGGAAGCAAAGATTGAGTTCAGAATATTCTTCCTTTGTGGAGATCAAAAGAGTGCCTCATCAGTCTCTCATGATAAGAGGAGATTGATTGCCTTCCCCTACTAAATTTAAGGGTTCATTCTTTGATTCTTTAATTCTTTAGAATTCTAATTTTGTAACTCAGATTCATTTCTTGTCAATTGACATTTAAAGAGGCAGATTCTAACTTTATAATATATTTTTAATGTAATAAGCTTTAATTTCTATAAATTGTTTCAAATAAACTGCAAGTTGACATGAAGTGGTTAGCTCTTT